CACTGCTGGGTCACAGCTCCCATTAGCAGAAATGGGAGCCCCACTAAAGTGCGTGTCAAGGCCATGGCTGTCCCCAGGTTAAAGTAGTTGAAAGGGAATTAAGGTGTTTGGGGAGAGGACAGAGGTACATGGGTCAGTGGCCAGCAGAAAGCCCCTCCTGATGCTTCAGAACAGGAATGGTTTTAGGTGGCAGGACTTGCTGGCACAGCCAGAAGCAAACTTCCACACTAACATCTGACAAGTATGCCCATCGAGAGGGATTTAATTTGCTGAGACATCTAAACCATGGCCAAGGTAGTGCAAGTCCTGGCAAGTGCCTCAGGTATCAGAGGAACTCTTACACAGAAGCAGAAAACCATTCCAAAAAGGGCTTGAAGTGAACAGCAGTGAAATGGCCAGGGCAGAATCATAGCATAGAATCCCAAACTGGTTTGGTTTGGGAGGGACCTTAAAGCTCCTCCAGCTCTAACCCCTGCCACGGGCAGGGACCCCTTCCACTGGAGCAGCTTGCTCCAAGCCCCTGTGTCCAACCTGGCCTTGAGCACTGCCAGGGATGGGGCAGCCACAGCTTCTCTGGGCACCCTGTGCCAGTGCCTCAGCACCCTCACAGGGAAGAAATTCCTATCTAATGTAACACCCCCAGGGCTCCAAGCTCCACAGTGGCTCACAGCTTCACGACAATGAAGTGGTCCTAGCTTTGGCACAGCAGCATCCCCAGATTTAGGCTCCCCCAGCTCCGAGGCTCCAAGCTGTGCACTTATGAGCAGCACAGAGGAGAGCAGCCTCCAGCCCTTGTTTGCACCAGCAGCCATCACTCACACCCCAAGCACACACCGCACCCGCTGCTTGGAGCCTCCCATCCTGCCTGCCACTGCTGCCAAAGCTGCCCTGTGCTGTGGAACACGCCTGGCTCTCCCCTCAGGAAAGCTGCCTGAAACCTTCTTGTACCGAGAGCCATCATCTCCAAATGATGGGCGACCATCCAGAAAGGAGCTCAACCTCAGCGCTTCCAGTTTAGATCTTCCCAATTCTTTCCCTATAATTGTGAGCTGTGCTTTGGGCACGATCAGCCAGCCTGGGCATACAGCAGACTCCAAAGGGCAACCACCCAGACCCAGAGCAGAGCGCCTTTCATTGCTAAATCCCACAAAAACATCCACAAGCAGAGCAGAGAGGACTTGGAACAGAAAAGAATCTCAAGCCTAAACAAAGCCTGAACCACAAGTGCTTGAGCCTTGGGGGGAAACGCTGCCTGCCCTCACCTCCTGTCCCAAAAGACATCATGCCATGCTCTTATTTTACCTCCCACGGAAGTAACAGCCTTCCCAGCCCCACTGCAGGACAAGTGCCTTGCTGGAAGCTCCGAATACCACGCTTATGCAAGGCCTGACTGCCGCTGCCCCAGGGCCAAGCGATGTTTGCTAATACATTCCTTACTTTTCATGTCAATACGCCTCTCCAGCGCACACAGCCAGATAGGAGGTGAGCCTGGTTAAACGCTCCCGATAACCTGTTGGAAGACAGGGACTTGGCTTATTTTCCACTTAAAGAAACATTACCCTGGAGAAGCTATAGCTATCAGGAGCATGGATTCCATTGAGTCAGTAACATCTCACCCAGTCGCTACCTGCACTATGTAGCTCAGGAGGATGAGCTGCACACAAACATTTGGACACCAAAAGGCACTTAGCAAAACAGAAATAACATGTAAATCACAGTGAAACACAAGCAGCCAAAGCTGCTGCCTCACAGTCTCCATCACTGGGAATGGGGCAGTGCTGCTGCCTGGCTGGGGGGGACCCATCCATGTCCCTGCTGCAGGATCCCCATTGCACCAACACACCCAGGGATCCCATTGCCATCGGGAGGCTGAGGCTGGATTTGGGGGGGTTGGAGGCTGCTGGGAAGCTTGGCTGCCAGACTCGGTGCTGGAAAGAGCCGCGCAGTCATGCTTTTGGAATGCTCCCTTGCTCCTAAGACATTACACAATTATTTCTCCTCCCTGCAAGCCCCCCTAACATAAATGTTTAAACGTGAGCTCAGCAGCAAGCAAAGAGAACTTTGTTTTCCTTTTTCTGAAGAGACACAAAGCGGCTGCTCCATGAACAGAGCCGCTTGTGGGGATGCAGTTAGAGCCCCGAGGGCTGCAGGGAGGGTTGGTGGGATGGGATAGGATACTCAGGCTCTTCCCCCCCAAGCCTGGCCGGGTCAGTCAGCGGTGGGGAAGCAGCCGCAGCCCTGTCCCTGCAGCACCCACAAGTCAGGCCCAAGGCTGCAGCTGAAGGACAACCCGCGGTGTCCGGACTGCCACTGACTCATCCCTGCCCATCCCAAGGACCCCCGCCCCATCCCAGGCACACCCACCCCATCCTGTCCTCCTGCACTCCACCCACACCGGGGGGGAGGGGGGGGGGTATCCGCTTCGCAGCGCTGCTCCCCCAGCAGTGCCCTAACACCACACCAGCACTGACCCCCCCCAAGCTCTGAACCCCCTATCCCCAGCACTGAACCCCAATCCCAGCTCTGAACTCTTCATCCCCAGCTCTGAACCCCCCATCCCTGAACCCTGATCCCAGCTCTGAAACCCCCATTCCCAGCACTGAACCCTGATCCCAGATCCCAGCTCTGAACCCTCCATCCCTGAACCCTGATCCCAGCTCTGAACCCTCCATCCCCAGCTCTGAGCCCCCCATCCCTGAACCCCGAGCCCAGCTCTGAACCCTCCATCCCCAGCACTGAACCCCGATCCCAGCTCTGAACCCTCCATCCCCAGCACGGATCCCCCCCATCCCAGCTGCCCAGACCCCAGCACTGAACCCCGATCCCAGCTCTGACTCCCCATCCCCAGCACTGAACTCCGATCCCAGCTCTGAACCCTCCATCCCCAGCACGGATCCCCCCCACCATCCCAGCTGCCCAGACCCCATCCCTGAACCCCGATCCCAGCTCTGGCTCCCCATCCCCAGCACGGATCCCCCCCCCATCCCAGCTGCCCAGTCCCCAGCTCTGACCCCCCCCCCCCCCAGCAGTGCCCCCTCCGCTCGGTTCCCCCAGCCCAGCCCCTCACCTCTCTCCGCCGCTGTCCCTGTCCCGGTCCCGGTCCCAACTCCGGCCCCGGCCCCGCGGCGCCGGCGGCACCGCCCCGTGCAGGGCCGGGCGGGGGAGGCGGTGCTGAGCCCAGCCCCCGCCCCGGGGCACCCGCCCGGGCAGCGCGGCGGGGATCGGTGCTTCCAGGCTGAGCCCCCGGGGGTCCCTGTTTACGGTAACGCCAGGCAGGGAGAGGGGCTGCGGGGGCTCCGAACCCCCCCTTCATGTAGGGCCAACAGCAAAACTCACCCGTGCCTTGCCCTCCAACCAGGAATGCCCCCAGCCATCCGAGCGTCTCTCTGGGAGATGCTTCCACCCCCATGACTGCTATTGGTAACAGAACCAAGAGAAAGCCCCATTTCCCACCATAACAGACACAGAGGGCATCCAAGGGACAGGCCCTATTCACAGCATCTCTGGTCCACCGGCAGGAAGGGCTGTGACACAGCAGGCTCAGTGACACAGAGAAGGTTTCATCTCCCCTTACCCCAACAGGCTGTCAGCAGGGAAACCATCACCTTTTTCTTCCCTCCATTCCCTTGTCTATATCCAGGTGCTGCCTGCAGCAGGGAGGAAAACCAGGCTGATACCTGCAGGTTTTCAATGTTTATCCAAGCCCAACACAGCACTCACCACCCAGGTCCCATTCTGGGTCACTGACCAATCCTGCAAGCCTTCCAATATGAGACTGGTGAGCTCCAGGTTGTTCTGACCCCACAGTGGGGTTCCTACACCCATGGGATCTGTGCAGTGCCAAGGGCAGAGGGACAACAGCTCACATGGCTCTGCCTGGGTCTATTTGCTGCCAAGCTTGCCTACACCAATTAATCAGGGCTAATTGGCTTTTAGGTAAGTCTTTGTTGCAGGAGCTCTGAAAGAGAGACTTTGAAGTGGGCTGCAAGTGGCAATACCTTTATTTAAACACACTGTGCTACACCAGGACAGGCTCCCGGCCTCAGTATCCCTCCCTTCAGCACAGATGGCAATAGGTCAAAATCTCACTGGATAACTTTCACTTCCCATTAAGCTCACCCAGTTTCTTTACACCCGATTACAGGAGACAGCATCCACCAAAGGTGACACGTGACAAGAGCTGGCTGCACCCAGCAACAGCAGGACACAAACTACTGGTGCCAAACCAAGGGACCACAGCCCTGCTCTCCCCATCACCATGCTGCCAGGATGCAGCATTCCTCCTGTGATGGGAGGATGCAAAGCTCTGATAGGCTCAGGAAATGCATCCTCCAGGATAAAGGTTGTGTAATTCAAAGTAAGACCTTGTGCAGGGGTCAGCCACTGCTGCAGCTCTGCTCAGTGCCAGCCTAGAGGTTATTAAGGAAGAGGGAGTTGCCTTTCTCCCATTCCAGTCACAACCAAGCTGCTTTTATTGTGGCCTTCCAGCCCTCAGCTAAGCAGATCCATGCAGCAGTTAAGCTTGCCTAAACAGGGCTGCTCTGTGGCCAACTGCAGCTCAGCTTAGAACCACTCAAAACTATAGGCATATAGCCATACAGTCTCCCCACACCAACACTTAGGCATTTTCCAGCTCAGCTTCCCAGTTAACAATAAATAATTGGACTCCAGAAACACAGCAGTGACCCGAGGGGTGGGAGCAGAACCCATGGCACAGCCAGCACAAGTGCAATAGCTCATTCCTTCCCAGGAGCTCTTTGTGCAGTGCAGTGATGGAGCACAGCCCCATCCTCCCAAACCAGTGACTAAGACGAGGTACATGGCTGGGATGAAGGTGAGAGGGGCTGGAAAGGGCAAACACAATGCTGGGATGTCAGTCGTGGGGCTTGTCCACCACCACCCCACCCACATCACCACTGAGCAGTGCCATCAGCAGAGCTTCACCCACCACAGCCCATCCCAGCCCCAACAGCAGCTTCAGTGTCACAGGACTGCAAGTGCTCCACCAGCCCAAGGACCACTGCACACTGCTGGAACCAGCGCACCCAGGGTGAGGTGCAAAGGATGCCCTGAGAAGCCAGGGAGCCTTCTGGCTCTTCACAGCAACCAAGAAAGTAGCAGCACAAAAACCATTCCTCCACAGCAGTCTCAGCCTCTGTCCAAGGCCCTTCCATCTCAGCCAGGGCTGTGCTCACACAGGGGGAGAGGGATGCTCTGAGCAGGGGCACAGACAGAGGCTCCAGGTTTCTTACTCTTCTCACACTTGGCTCAGGAAACAAGTGCTTGGGGGAGAGGTGGCCCCAAGGCAGCACCAGTGTCCTGCTCATCTCCATCCACGCTGCCCTGGGTTCATTGAGCATCACGTGTAGTTGCCAGGGCCGCCCAGAGGGATCACAAAGACAGAGATGTCATCGCCGGAGCCCAGTTTGTCGTTAGCCAGCCGCCAGCCCCGCTCCTTCAGCACCCCCCTGGACCGCACCACCAGCTCCTGGGCTGCCATGGTGTACCTGGGGGCAGAGCACAGCATGGCTCAGCACTGAGCCCAGCCCGGAGGGATGCACGGCCACAGCCCTGCTCCAAGGAGCAAGGCCAAGGGGAGGTGTTAGACTGCAGGACACACTCATCCCCCTGCCCACTCACAGCTTACCTGCATGGGTCATTGGGCTCATAGCTCGTCAGCACCTCCATCACCACACCAGCCACCTCCTTGTCATTGGTGACATCCCAGAGCCCGTCGGTGCCCAGGACCAGAACATCATCAGGGCAGTGCTCGTACTGCGTGAGGTCGTAAACCCTGACCTGACAAGCAGCAGGGCAAGACACAAGGGTGAGGGGCAGAGAAGATTCTCATTGCTCCAGCCATGGCAGGAGCCCCTGGGCACATTGCAGCCAGGCTCACCTCTGGGAAGCAGGACAGGAAAGGCTTGATGTGGATGTTGGAGCTGAACACCTTGAGGTCATGGTCTCCCAGACCCCGCGTCACCCCAATTGTGGCCAGCACCCGAGCCTGGAGAACAGTGAAATCAAAGGAAAACTTTCAGCTGCTTCATCTCCACCTCCATTCCCAGCTGAGAATTGGTGGCTTTGGAGTGGTGACAGCACAAGCAGAAACAGGCTGGAAACCCCCCCCGATTCAGCAAGAGCAAAGAGCAGGCAGGAAGTGACCCCCCCACAGCTCCTGCCACACCACTTCACCTTTTTTCCTTCCCCATAGATAAGTGGAAACTTCAGGTCATCCTCTTCTATCTTTTTGTAAGCCCTGGTTAAAATAAGACAACGTGTCAGCAGGAGGCGGCTTCCAGCACCTCCCCTGCCTGCTCAGGACACAGCATCCCCAGGGACAAGGACTGCCTGAGGCATGGGTACCCAGTGTACCAGAGCCCTGCTTCCCATGGGAATGATGCAGATCCAGGCAGAGCAGGACCCTGCACTGCCTCTCAGCACAGAGCCTGCGAGGTGGTTTAGGGGTTACCAGCCATTCATGTCCTGGTCTCTGTACAGTATCTTCCTCCCCAGCTCCTTGGGTTGGATCCTGCGGGGGAACTCGAGGTGGGTGAACTCCTTCCCCAGCAGCTCAGGCCTCAGGAATGCCTGTAGGAAGAAGTGATGGTTCAACTGAAGGGCTGGGAGAGCAGGATCCATAGAGCAGTGCCTGCCCCAGCAGCCAGTACTGCCCACAGCACCAGGCATGGGACCTCAGCTATGGCATTTCATGGTGGGGACATCACCAACTGCTCTGCTGCAACTCGAACAGGGGGTGGTAAAGCAGCTCCAAACCATCCATCTGTGCTACCCCCAGCGAGGCGACAGGAGCTGGGCGCTGCCATGCCAACACCCAGCACGAAGGTGAAGCTTTTGCATGGGGAGTTTTGGGCAATAAGGATCTCCAAAAGGGATCAACCCCCAGCAAATTCCAGGAGGAGCTGGAATTTGCCCAGAGGAGTCAGAGCTGCAACGCTCCCAGGCGCAGCACAGGGCACGGCACCCGCCTGAGGGAAAGAGCTGATGGGTCTTTCAGAAACCATGGGCTGGCTGTGATAAGGGACAAGCAGCAGCACAGAGCCCCTTCCCAGGGCCTCCTGGAGCAGACTGGGAATAGGGACAGTGCTGGAAGATGCAGATGGAGGAAGAAAGAGTGAAAGAAAGGAGGAAAACCCATAGGAATACAGGAGGGTTCAGTGCAGAGGCACAGAGAGCCCCATCCACGTCCCGGGGGGCTCTGACCATGGGGACTCTGCAGTGGAGCAAGCACGTGGCTGGCTCCTGCCTGCACCCTGCACCCTGCCCACTGCAGCCGGCTGGAGGAGATCCTGCTCCCAGCAGTTTCCTCCTGTGGGTCATTCAAAAATAGAGTCAAGAAAAACACCCCAGTGTTTGTCCAAGCCAGGAAACGGCATCCAGCGAGGCCTCCTCCTCTGTGCTGCCGTCAGAGAGGTCTTTATAACCTTAAGAAGTCTCCCTGTGTGGCACAGGGGGGTTGTCCAGGCCAGGCAGGAGAAGGAGCTTTCAGGATGAAAGCTCAAAACCCACTGGCACACACATCAGCTCCCTGCCTCCCCAGGGAGCAGCCAGGGAAGAAACTAGGACTCACTCCTTGGGCCATGCAAGGCAGCAGGATGGATGGAGGGAGCAGAGCTGTGCTCCTCCTCCTGGGCGCTGCACAAGCAGCCCAGGCTGCTCCCCATTCCTGATCAGGAGGACAAGATGGACCAAACTGGCTCCATGCACCAGCACCAAACCAGCCCCATGCTGAGAGCCCAGGATCCCCAAGCCAGACCCAGGCACAGCCCCTGCACCAAAGCAGGACTCCATCAGCCATGAGATGCCCCACACCAGTGAGCCAGGGCAGCTCTATGTCCCAGCACCTCCGGGCAGCCCAGAGAGCACTTGATGGATGAGTGCCCATCAGCAGGTCCCAGCTTCAGGGCTGCCCTCAGCCCCTGGAACCCCACCACGAAGGCAGCACAGGGGGCTGGCTGGGAGGTGGTTCAGCAGGGACAAGGTTAGAAGAAAGGTCTTTCTTACTAAAAACTGCAGCCTCTGCCTCTCTGTCTCTGGAGTAAACTCCCTGGACATTGGAATGATTTCCCCGTTACGGATGATAATGGCCCTGCAATGAAACATGGAAGGATGTGATTAGAGGGGAGAGGAGATGTGGCAGGGGAGCTTAGCCTGGCTCTCTGGGGCAGAGTCCCTCATGGCTACTCAGCTGGTGCAATCTCTTCCCATGTGCTGCCTGCCCTCTTCCCTGCTAGCCCCTGCCTCCCTCCTGCAGGGATAGGGGCAGGGGGGAAGAGAAATGGAAGAGAAGAATGGGGCAAAGGGGAACAAAACAGAGCAAACCAAAGGACAGGTTAGAAAAGGAGCAGTGCAAAGGTGGCAAACCCTCCTTTAGAGGGGAGCTGCTCAGAGGACAGGCAGAAATCACCAGCAGCAGGACATGGGTGCAAATGCCCACCAGCACTGTGGGTCGCTGATGGGGCTGATCTGATTGACTGATGTGTTAAAGAAACATAAGTCTGATTATGAGATGCTTGTGGATGTCATGGGAGGGGATGGAGGATCTCCAACACTGGTGACCCTGCTGTCCTGCCTCTGGCTGGGGTCCCCTCCAGGGATGCAGGGCCTGGCTGTGCCCAGCTCCAGCAGCATCTGATGCCCAAGGAGGGAACACAGAGGCACAATTAGAGCCTCAGGACCCTGCTCGCACCACTGTCCTGTATGGCTGGTGCCTGGCCACTGCTGCCATGGAGGAGGCCTGCACCCAAAGCAGAGGCACAAAGGATCTCCTCATTCGCAGAGCTGGAAGCACATCCTCCACAATCTACCAGAGCCTGTATTTGCTGGCCTGACACTGCTGAGGACAAGCTAAGCCAGGGCAATCCAAACCAGCTTCACCCTCAGGTGGACTTTCCTTCCTGCCATTGCTCTGGGGTACAAACACCCCCAGGTGCAATTACAGGAAAGCACCCAAGGAAATGCACATCAAAACCCTTGGGCTCCAAGCTCCCAAGGGATTTATCTGCACATGGATTTGTGCATCCTTCTCCTGAAAGAGTTCATAGGTACAAAGCGTGCCCTAAAACGTCTTGCACAGTTTGGAAAGCTTTGCTGAGGGCAACTTTCACACCCCAGCTTGCAGCCCAGGCCAGCACTGGCAGCAGGATGCGACCCAGAGCCATCCGGGAAGCAGACAGGATGCTGTTGGGAAGGAAGGGAACAAATCCCAGGTTTGGGGGAATGATTCTGCAGGCCCATGGGTGCCCTGGTCAAACACAAAGCCCACAGCAGGGCACGTTGTCCATGGGCAGGCAGGGGGGGCTCTGCCCTCTCCCCAGCACAGCCCAGCTTCAGGGATGGAGCTGGGTGCTCCTCACCATGCCTCCAGTGCTGCTCTGCTCTACCAGGGTGCTCCCCCGTTACCAGGTGGGATGGGGCTGCCCTGTGGGGCTGTACCTGCTGTCACCAGCGTTGGCCACGTAGAACTTGCCCATGAGGTAGACGGCAGCCAGGGCACAGCAGCCCCCAGCCAGGCGCTGGGACACTTGCTCCTGCTCGATCTGGTCGTCCTGGGGAGACAGAGAGCAGGTCCAGGCAGGGAGCCTTCCCATACAGCCCAGGGGACAGGGACCTGCAGGGCAGCTGGGGACAGGGCTCCACCGGGACAGTGGAGTGGACAGGATAAAGCAAGACAGGAGGGGAGCAGCTGGGACTGCTGGAATGAAATGCACTGAAGCACCCACACAGAGCCCAAGGCCTCTGCATCCCAAACTACAGGAGAGCATCACAGTGCCCTCCCTGAGACCATCCTCCTAAGAGCCCTCCCTCACTGCAGACCATTCCCTGCTGTAGAGCTGCCTTTTGCCAGAGGGGACAAGCCAAGGTAGACACAGAGCAAAGGGATGCTCCCAGAGGATGTCCTGGGCATCCCTGCAGGCAGGGGGGTTCACTCACCATGTGCTTAAAGGCATTCTCAATGGCACCAATCACCAGGCTCTCATGGGAGACAGCTTTCTCCAGGTGAAACCGTGGCACAGCATCACTGGGGACCTCCCCATCGTCCTCTGTGAGGGGCACCTGACTTAACTCCACAGGGCCATGTGGGAGGCAGATGGGAGGTGGGGATGGATCCTGCAGGATGTCCACGAGGTCCCGGAGCTGCTCGCAGATGTGCAGATGGAGCCTCTCAGATGCCATGACAGCAGCACCACTGCCCGCATGGCCATCGAATAAGGCCCAGTAGTGGAAATAAAACCCCTTCCTGCTCTGTGGGGAGAGAAAGGAAGGTGAAGAGAGCCTGTGGGGAAGCAGACGATGGGGAATTCAGAGCAGCTGTCACCAGTCAACACAGGGCTGTCCCCAGCTCACAGATCCCATCCCAGCCCAGGCAGGAGCACTATGGGCAGCTGATCCAGGGTTCTGGACATGGCTGGAGCCCAGCCCTGTGTCAGCACCTTGCATCTCCAGCAGCCTCCAAAGGAGCAGCAGGATGGGGCCAGAAAGCAGCCACCTCCTCAACCCAATGGGGCACATTGGCCAGTGGCATCCCCAGGCCAGCCAGCCCTGGTGTATTCCAACAGGGATGATGGCAGGAGCTGGCAGGGAGCAGGGGAACCCGCAGGGAAGCAGCACTGCACACACATTGCCATGTGTCCCATCTCACACTCTGCTACTGGACATCCTCCTGTGCATGCTCCCCCTGCTCTCACCCCAGTCAGCTCCCCACAGCCTTCCTTGGACAGCAGCCGGCCCCTGGGGCTGGGCCTTCTCTCCACAAACACCACCTCGCAGCATGCCTGGTCCTCGTTGTGCTGGCTCTTTCCTGCATTAATCACCCTGCCGAGGGGAAACAAGGTGTAAAAGCTCTGCCTTGCGCCCCATGCTCCAGCAGAGACCACCCCACAGCACCTCGCTCCCCCAGGGATGCTCTCTCCTCTGCAAGCAGAGGTCCCAGACCACTTGCATGGGTTGATCCAGGGCCAGCAGCTCCCACCAGCACAGCCAGGTCCAAGCACCAAGGGAGGTGACAAAAAAGAACTGGTTGAGAGTGACTGCCCAAAGATCTGCATGAGTCTCAACGCACATGCACCCAGCCGGGACTCATGGATGGGATTACAGCCTCCTCCATGTCCCATCACACCCAGCACCTCTCAAAGGAGGGGAGAAGGAGAAGAAGGTGAAACCAGCAGAACTCTTGCTAAAAGATTCACACTGACTTTCCACAGCCTCTGCTGGCACAGTAGAGCTCAGGTCTAGGCTGCAAAGCCTGCTCACAGGAGGAAGCTGTGACCATGTACATCAGGATGAGCTCTTCCAGCATGGACTTTTCAAGTGGTTTGCAGAAGGAAGTGTCAGGAGATGGCAGAGAAGTCTTGCTGCTGAGCAGAATGGGTTTGGTCCAGGTACTCTCATCCCAGTATCTCCTGAGGCAAATTAACATCTCTAAGAGCTCCCCAGCATATGAGGAAGATCAGGATGCAGGAATGGACTAGTCACGGAGCAGCAAAAACGGCCTTCAAAGCCCGACCTTCCCCACTGTCCTTCAGTTAAGGATGAAACTCGCAGCAAGTAAAAGGAGAAGAGAATCAGGCTCTTGAAGGGGAAGTCAAAATCAGGTCCCACTCCCAAAACAGCTTAAACCCCCGGAGTCCGGAGAGAGCCGCATCGGATCCCCATCAGTGCCAGCGGGCATAGCGCAGATAGAACAAACAAGACAGAAAAGCCTGAAACCCTCGGGGATGGGTACGAGCACCGACGCACGCTGCCGGCATCATCAGCAGCCGGCATTGACGGAGCAAGCTTCCATCTGCTGCTCCTGGAGAAGCAAACGCAGCTCCCGGCCGGCTGCCGCGACCCACTTTAGCTCCCAGTGGTGCCGAGCGCTGCCAGGCCCCCTTCCCAGCGCCGCAATCCCCCCTCCATCATCCTCCCCTCGAGTACCCCCACCCGGGCCCCGCTCACTCGGCATAACCCGTGCTCCAAGGCAGGCGGCAGCGGCCGTCGCGGGGGCTCTGCACAGCCCGGCCAGCGTGGTCCTGGGCACGGCGCAGCTCCGCGGGGCTCAGCTGGAGGAAGGCGGGCCGGTAACACGGCTCCGACCGGGACCGCCCGCAAGGCTCCGACCGGGACCGGCCGCAGGGCTCCGGTCCCCCGGGCTCGCCGCTCCGGGGCTCCGCGCCCAGCCCCGCCACCAGCTGCGCCACGGCTGCGCGCACCCGCGGCAGCATCACCGGCAGGACAGGAGCCGAACCGAGCCGTGCTGAGCCCCGCAGGGCCGGGCCGTGCCCGCCGCCCCGCCCCGGGCGCTCAACGCGTACGCGCAGCGCCCGCGGTTACTGCGCATCCAGGACGGCCCCCGGCGCATCCCGGCCCCCCCCTCGGAGCAGGAGCCATGGCTGCGCGGGGAATCAGCTCCGGGCAGGTCGTTACCGGCTTCAGGGAGATGGGTCCGCGGTGGAGACGGGCTCGCCGTGCCCGTACGGGGCTGTTCGCCTTCCCCGCAGGTGGGCTTCCTGGCTGGGTCTTCCAAGGGCTCCGGCAGAGCCATCTACCCTGATGCGCCATCCGCTTCCAGAGGCAGGTGCTTCGTCACTCTCCCGGCCGCCCATCAGCAGAACCCAACCCTTCGGGAGCCGTGCAGAGGAGTAGGGAGCTAACATGAGAGGAGTGAGGGGTTACTCGCACCCTTCCACCCAGGCTGCAGCCCTCCAGCACCGGTCTGGATGCAGCTTTAGCTGACCCAGAACAGCACATTCTGGCTGAAGAGCTGCATTCACACAGCCCAGCCTCAGCCCCTCCCCTGCCTCTGGGGTCCTGTTGCAACAAAGGACTTGCTAACCCTACAGTATTACCCTACTGTAAAGTAAAATTGAGGCTATTTCCTAACACTTGGGTACCCAAAAGTGCTCAGCTCCACAGAGGAACCATTTATTCCCTTCTATGCAGAGCTTTGGTACAGCAAGGCCTAGACAAAAGCAGGGCTCTCACTACCAACTCTGTAAAGCCCTCCATGGTTTAGTCACCTTCTTTATCCAGAAGCCCTTTAACTTTACTAAACTGCTAAGGTGACTGTATGGAAGTTACTCATTACCCCTTATACTCACATCTTGTAATCCTCAACATTAAGCTGTGCAGTAATCCATCTTTTTAAAGTGCTCACACATCCAAACTCACATCCCCTATCTCCCCCTGTTTTCTGGTACACCTCCCCGCATACTCCTATTTGAAGCTGCTGCCTCATTTCCTGCCCTGCTTTGCACCCACTGCTCACCTGAGTGTCCCAGCTGTTACTCGGCTCCAGTTAAAGTGTTCCCTGATAAAGACATCCCTGCTTCTCTTTATGGGTTTTAAAAGACTGAGGGAGAGAGATTGAAGTGTTGCTTTGCAGCTCTTTGAGATGGAAGTATAGGTTAATTTTATAATAGAACCACAGACTGGCTTGTGTTGTATGGGACCTTAAAGTTCATTTAGTTCCACCCCCCTGCCAGAGGTAGGGATGCTTTCCATTAGAATAGGTTGCTCCAAACTCTGTCCAGCTTGGCCTTGAACATTGCCAGCCCCTCACCACCCTCACGTGGAAGGAATTCTGCCTAAGAGCTCATTTCAGTCTCCTCTCAGGCAGGTTAAAGCTATTCCCCCTTGTCCTATATCTCTGCAGGCTCTTGTCCAAAGCTCCTCTCCAGATTTATTGTTGGCTTCTGCCTATGCTTCTTCACTGCATCTCATGTTAATGGGTCAGGGCTTCCTATCAAATCCTTGTGCTCCTGTGTGAGCTGCTCCGCTGCCAGGGAAAGTGTATCTGCTGCAGGAGCTGCAGGGAGCCGGGAAGGCGCTGGATGGCGGCACAGGCCGCCTGGTCCTTGTCCTCCCTTTCAGCATCTCTGTCCTGCTGCTGGTAGCACGGAGGGTCTCAAAGGAGTGCAATATCCTTTGTGTTAACCTTGGAAATCACCGTTTTTTTTTCCAGGGAATGCTTATCCTCTCCTTAGGGCTGACAGTCTGCCCCGTACTGCTGAGTCACCAGGATGCTTTCCTTGGAAGGAAGGAAATGGCAGTTTCCAGTAGGGATTTTATGACCCTGTTTGACATTTGTTGCTTCTGTTATGCTAAGCACTGCGCAGCATCCTGGGTTCAGCTGGAATGGTTATTTTTCTCCTTCTGAGTAGCTGCTGCAGTGCTGTGTTTCAGCTTTAGCCTGGGAGTGAGCAAGTGGCTGCTTGGTTCTGAGTTACTGACTTGGGCTTAAACCACAACATGCAGGAAGAATGGTCTGACACAAACACATGCTGCAAGAACACTGCCTGCAACAATGCCATGCTAATAACAGCTTTCCAAGAAAGAGGGCAACATTTCCTCCTATTCATATTGCCTGCCCGTTTGATGGGAAGTTTCTTCCTGGCCTGTGAGGCTGGGGTTCCCCTTCACAAGGCTGCCTGGAACAAGACCTGTGCATGTGCCTGGAGATGCAGTCACAGGCTGAGTCAGAGTATGAGCCTGGGGAGTAAATGCCAGTAAATGGGGATTCGGGATGGAGCCTGGGGAGCAAATGCCAGTAAATGGGTGCTTTGGACGATGGCAGCTCTGTCCATTGCCCTGCAGTTCCTGCAGGGATGCTTGTACTTTTCAAGTCTCCATATCTCACCCAAAGCATCCCCCCTGCCTGCACTCATCCTCTATGAGCAGTGGGGTTTGCTTCCCTTCTCCAGCTTGGTGTCTCCCTGGCCCACAGCTCCAGGAAGAAGATAAATGCCCCCGTCCTCCTCTCCCTCAATTGTCAAGGGTTTGCTTATGCAGAATGGAGGAGATGCAAGGTTATGTCATCTTTCCTTTTCTGGATAGAGTTGTGTGAAAATGGTAATGAAAATTATTCCTTTTAATTTCGGGGGGGGGGGGGGGATATATAAATGGAGGAGCAGTCTTCCAAATCCCTTTTCAAATTAAAAATTCTATTTCTTAGAAGCATGGAATGGTTTGGGTTGGAAGGGACCTTAAAGCTCATCCAGCTCCAACCGCTGCCACGGGCAGGGACCCCTTCCACTGGAGCAGCTTGCTCCAAGCCCCTGTGTCCAATCTGGCCTTGAACACTGCCAGGGATGGGGCAGCCACAGCTTCTCTGGGCACCCTGTGCCAGGGCCTCAGCACCCTCACAGGGAAGAGCTTCTGCCTAAGAGCTCAGCTCAGTCTCCCCTCTGTTAAGTTAAAGCCATTCCCTTTAGAGATGAGATTTTAGGCCTTTCAGAAAGCTGATTTCTTTGACAAGACCAGCCCTTTCCCTTCTCCCTGTCCCCGTGCAGGGCAAGAGATGCTGACCTCACTAGGGCAGCATCTGCGTGTGCATGAGAAGGAAGTAGCTGTGCATGAGGACCACCAGGACCGATAACTCCCTGCCTACATGCTGCCTTGGCAAACACCAATTTGAAGACAACAACATAGGAGTTAGACTTAAATTATGCTGTTTTGCCGAGTTTCACATACAAATGCTTAGATTTAAAAAACCTCTTCTGATTTTCATCATTCCTTTATGTACCTGAGCCCCAGAGGATGTAGGATGAAGCCAGGAATATTTCCTTGTGAGAGATGACATGTTGGTGGCATTTAAGCCAGAACAGAAGTCAATTAAACATCTAGATCATAAAAGTATCAGAGGATGCTTTAAAATAGGCTCTTTGCAGCAGTGCATTAGTTGCCTGCACAGCTTTACTGTGTAATGAGCAATATATTAATTTATAATTAGTGTAATACAGTGAAGCTCAGCAAATAGCTCTGTGCACTCTGGATAATTCATCAGCAGAAGAAGCAGCTCTTAATGGTTTCCAAGGTTTGCCTGTCCCCTGTAATTGGGAAGTTCAGAATTTATTGTTATTTCTTTGAAGGGATAATTTGATTGCAGCCACACATCTTTATCCCATGTCTGTTCCTGGCAGAAAAGCCTTTGGAACGTTGCAGCTCAGGGGATGCGTGACCTCTCTTCAGGCTGTTGTAGTCAGGGGTTTGAGTCTCCTGCTCTTATATCACACCACCTGATAGCAGAAATACAGGGGAACAAGAATAAATGTGTCAATAAGGCTAATAGGAATTTATGGAGCTTTTTTGGGGGGGGATGTATTTTCCAGGGGAAGCTCAGACCTGCTCCCCATGGGATGCTCAGGCTTCCCAGAGATCCTCCCCTCTGTGCTACTGTGTTGTCAGGCACTGAAATTCCTCATTGTCAGCAATTTGTCCCCTTTGAAAAGGGAACAAAATCCTCGGTGCTGTCTCATAGGAAGGGGATAAAGAAGCTCGAATCTTAATTCAGTGACCCACTGAAGATGGGGAATGGCAGCTCTTCCCTGGGAATAAAGCCTCAATTCTGCTTTTTCCAGCCTTGATGAAATACTCTGTGTGCCTCTGCCCATTAGCAGCTGGGGATAAGTTGATTTCACTGAGGATTTAAAGTGTTTCTGACGTGCCCATCTGCCTCGTGTAAGCATCTAACCCAAACCTTTGTCCTAAACCTTGGGTTTTCTTCCTGAACAAGAGCTGCTTGGCCATCTAGAGAGCACAGGAGTGTTCCAGGTACAGCCACAGCTTCCAGCCTAAGGGAAAATGAGTTCTTACTTGGTACCAGCAGTTTCCATTGCTAGGATTTTCTAGTGCAGTTGCTTTCCTTGCCAGACTTGTTATGGATACCAAGAACTCTTCCCCTCTCCCAGTAAAACATGGGGCTTGAAGAGTCCCAGCCAGGGGAGAGGGATGCTAGGGGCTGCTGCTGTACTTTTGAACAAGAAGTTAGAGGGAGAAGGCATTACCGTGACCACTTCCAGCCAGATTTGAATGGAATCAGTTTTACCAAAGTCTTAATTCTTCCCCTGCATTGAGATGCTGTGATCTAGAAAGCAGCAAGTTTGTGTTTCTGTACCATCGCATTAATAAAGAGCTCGATTTTTGTAGGCTTCCTTATTGAATGATCTGGCTTGATTTAATTGGAATTTGGCTGCTGTGAAAGGTACTTTTGATTGCATTTGCTCTTCATTTCCATGAAAACTTTGTGATCTGAAAACTAATATGTTTGTATTTATTTATCATAGCAATCGAGACCTGAATTGGCAGAGTCTCCATCAAGTTACCTGACAAATAGAAACAGCAGATTGAATTTAGTTTCATATTGATTTTTGCCATTATTATTAAAACCTTCTGCTCTGGAGGAGGAGCTGCTTGTATTTCTCAACATCTTATTGCTGGGGGGTGA